TCTCAGCCGGGGGGTGGTGGTGGTGGTGGCGGCGGCGGCGGCGGCGGCGGCGGCGGCGCACGCCTTTAATCCCAGCACTTGGGAGGCAGAGGCAGGCAGATCTCTGTGAGTTCGAGGCCAGCCTGGTCTACAAAGCGAGTTCCAGGAAAGGTGCAAAGCTACACAGAGAAACCGTCTCGAAAAACCAAAAAAAAAAAAAAAGAGAGAGAGAGACATAGAATCTCAACCCTCAGGCCACTGTGACTTGGCTAGGGTGGCATCTTCCAGCCCACAGCCACGCCATCAACTCAGCTTACTTCCCAGGCTGGGACCAAGAGCACCCTGGTCTACACACACAACCTAGCACTGCCTCCCAAAGCCAGCCGGCTACACAGGACTGAAAAGCAGCCCATAGCCCTGCTGTGGCTCAGGTGTCTGCACCTCCTGAGACAGTGGCGCTCTCCTTAGCTTGTGGGTTCTGACAGGTTGCCTAGCGCTTTTCAGACAACCTAGCAGGAAGTTATGGACAGCACCCCCCCCCTCAGCCCCCAAGTCAAGAACAAAGAAACAGAGAAACATTTCTCCAGATCTGCTGGGGCCTGGCCTCAAGGTCACAGGGGAAAGTAGTCACAATCCATAAAAGTGACAGGAGACACATCCCATTACCTGTGTTGTTCTTGGACTGAGGTTCCATTCTGGAGACACTTGAGCCCCAGGAATGGGATCCCTGAGGGTGTTGCATAGCTTCCTGTGGATGGTGTGGGGGGCATGCAGCAGCATGAGGCTGGGGACCCTCAGATTGCATAAGTTCCATCTCGCTTTGTCCTGCAATGGCTGTGGGGCCCTCGTCTGTCTGAGCTCCCACCCAAAGGATGGATGGAGGTGACCAGGTGACAAGGTTAAGAAATGACATCCCAGCAGAGAGTGCATGGGCCGTCGGGCCTTAGTGGGAGGGGGTTGCCCTTCCCAGTGGGCTCAGGCTGGGCCACCTCATTCTTTGAACGGTTTGCCTGTGGCGGAGACCCCAGGCTGCTGGCGCCCTGTTACAGCCAGAGTCCGGCATCAAGAAAGACTCCAGCAACCGAGCCAGGCACCGAGCTGATTGGAAGCTGTGGCTGGCAGGCCATCTCACGTCCTCACCTGGGTGACTGAGTGCAGGGGACCCTAAGCAGAGCTGGAGGCCCAAGCTGGTTTGCTTTTGTGTTGGTGGGTGGACTGCACCTCACTGGCTCTCAGTTTGCGGTGGGAGCAGCCTCCCCCTTCCCAGGCTGCCAAGTGAGAATATGGCTCCGGCTCCGGCTCCGGCTCCGGCTCCGGCTCCGGCTCTGTATTGTGGTTCCCTGAGCTTGAACCATTTGGATCCCAGCCGCTGTGGCCATCACGTTCCTGCCATCTCGGGGACCTGAGAGGGCACCCAAGAAAGGCAGGCTCCGGGCTGTTTCCCTGATCTTTTTTAGAGTCTTCTGCTGGGGCACAGACTACAATATCCCAATTCAACACCCTTTTCTCTTTTTGTTTGCTTGTGTTTGTTTTTGTTTTTTAGAGACAGGGTTTCTCTGTGTAGTTCTGGATATTCTGGAACTCACTCTGTAGACCAGGTTGGCCTCGAACTCACAGAGATTATCCTGCCTCTGCTTCCTGAGTGCAGATAAAGGCGTGTGCCCGGCTGTCAACAATCTTTTACTGTCTCTCTCTTTTTCCGGTTTTCTATGACCAAAGGTCACAGTCCACAAGCACCCCCACCACCAAGTACGGGAGCACAAGTGACCCCTGCCCCTTACTAGAATATTGCTCCTTCTAGCATTTCCTACACCTGGGCCCCTGCAGGCAGCCTTGTGCAGAAGCTCACATGTGGTGTGATGCTTCTGAGTCATGTGTGTCCTTGTGTGTGTCAAAGGTCCACCCCAGGCCCTGCTGATCAGTTTTCTTCTTGTCCACTCAGCAGTTGATGGACAGTTGGGCTGGTTGTGAAAAGACGACGTGGCGATGTTGTCCATTGCAGCCTGCAGGTACTCACACAGACTTCTCTTCCATGGCTCTTGCATGCCCCTCACAGAATCACTGTTACACTTCTATTGAATCACTGTTACACTTCTATTGAATCACTCTTACACTTCTATTGTTCCTGCCTGGCTGTTTCTCAATGTCCCTCCCCTTTGTATTCCCATCAGTCTTGCTTGAGAGTTCCAGTTGCTCCAAATCCTTGCCAACACTTGATGTTGTCTGTCTTTTTAACCTTAGCCATTACATGGGGTGTGTTAGGCTCTTGTCTCATGGCTACAATCAAATGCTGACCAAAGCAACTTGAGGAGGGAGGGTTTGTTTAGGCTCACAGTTCCAAGCAATACAGTCATCACAGGCAGAGAAGCCCCGGCAGCAAGAGCAACATTGTTACCAGGAGGTGACTGGCAACATTGTACCCACTGTCGGGAAGCAGAGATGAACGCTGGGGCTCAGTTCACTATCTCCATTTTATTCAGCCCAGGGGATGGTGCCGCCCACATTTGGGTGCATCTTCCCTCTCGAATTAACCCAATCTAGAAACACCCTCACAGATGTGCTCAGAGGTTTGTTTCCATGGTGATTCTAGATCCCATTAAGTCTTCAATCAGCATGAGTCATCACTGGTCCTTCCTCTGGCTTTAGGCTTCCTGCCCTGGCCGTAACTGCAATCCCTCCCTCTAGGGCTCCGGGCTTGTCCCTAGGGTGGCTCAGCTTCAAGCCAGGTCCCAAGAAGCCTGCCTATGTCCAAGTGTTCTCTGAACCTCCGCTGGGCTGGGTTGGCCTACTGCAAGGTGAAAGACACAGAAAACTGTCAAGTCACCCTAGTTGTCCCATCAGTACCAAACCAGCCTAGCCAACAAATATGTGGACCAGCCAAGACTGATCTGCAGAGCTGCCTAGCAGCCCAGCCGCCTCCACATACAAGAACATGAACTCCTATGGGCGAGTGACTGAGTCTGGGGATGCCTGTTACTCGGCATGACTGAGAAACAGATAGCCAATACATCTCCTCCAAAGACTGAAACTGGGAGATAGACTTTATCTACTAGGCTTTTCTATGAACTGAGAATAGCCCATTGTACAGACGAGCAAACCAAGGCTCAGAGAGTTGTAACCACTCCCTCTAGGTCACACAGCAGAAGTCTGTTGATAGCTGTGACTCTGGACCCTAGGCAGGTGGAGGAGCCTGGGGCATCTTTCAACCATTCAGCAGGCGGTAGTTGGGCACCGACCATGTACCATGTTGAACTAAATGCTCAGGGTAGAGTGGGGGCCCCAAATCACACATGGCCTTTTCCTCATAGAGTGTGGAGTTTGAAACTTGATGGCCAATTATCAAAGGCCTCACCCTGAGATGAGCGCCACACAGGGAAATGTCTCCATGTAGTGAGGGAGTGAGCTGGGGGCCTGGCCTAGAGGATCAGGGGACTGGGTTGACTCTTGGAATTCCTGCCTTAGCCGCCTATATGGTTTTCTGTTTCTAACCTGATTCCTTCCCCCGAGCCCTGTCACTGAGAGGCCCAGAGGATGTGTGTCCACAAAGTTATGCTTGCCTGCACTGATGCAGCAACAGCCACCTCTGCATGTGTGTGTGTGTGTGTGTGTGTGTGTGCATGCACACGTGTGTTCACACATGTATGCCTGTAAGTGTACAGCCACATGGTCTCTCTGACAACACAGACTCTCAATTGTTTCCTTTTCTTCTTTTTATTTTATGTGTATGAGTGTTTTGCCTGCATGTGTGTATGTGCACCCTGTGCATGCAGTACCCTCAGAAGCCAGAAGAGGGCATTGGATCCTCTAGGACTGGAGTTACAGACAGTGGTGAGCCACCATGTGGATGCTGAGAATCAAGCCCAGGTTTTCTGGAAGAGCAGCCAGTGCTCTTAGCCTCTGAGCCATCTCTCCAACCCCTCAATCATGTGTCAATGTTCTTCAAATTCACTTCCTGTGGTCCTGCTGGAACACGAGCTCTTTCTAGTGAGACTGTGGAGGGGCTGTGAATAGTCGAGCTGTTCTCATAGGACAAGGACATTCAGTCGAGGCAGATGACAGCCTCTGTGTTTCACCCCACACCTTTGCTCTGGCACTGAGTTCTGGCCACCCAGAGGAAGACATGTCACATCTCACTTGTGCTGGGATGCTGTGAGCTAGCAGTGGCCCTGTGTGCATGCTACAATGACTTAATGCTGTGTTTCTCAACCTGTGGGTTGTGACCCCTTGGGGGGGTCAAACGACCCTTTCACAGGGGTCACATATTAGATATTCTGCATATCAGATATTTATATCATGAGTCATAACAGTAGCAAAATTACAGTTATGAAGTAGCAATGAAAATAATTTTATGGTTGGGGGGGGTCACCACAACATGAGGAACTGTATTAAAGGGTCGCAGCATTAGGGCCACATGGTGAGGCGTAACAGGAGAGGACATGGCTTGACACGCTCCCAGGGTCATGGGAAGGGGACAGGACAGAGGGACAGCCATAAAGACAGCATTACTCGGCAGGTCACCACCAGGCCACTCGCTGGGCCCCAGCCCATGAACTGCCTCCCTCAGCCACATGCAGGGCTGCTCCCGGGAGGCAGGTGTGAGCAGAGCAGAAGCCTCTGGAACACCACCCATCCAAGATGCCTCCTGCCACAGGAGGTTCCGATTTGCGGGTGATCTTGCAGTATCCGTACAGCTTTGAGGAGAGAGACATAGACCTGCAGGTTTTCCTGGGACACATTGCTGTTTTCACTCTGCCTGCCGTGTGTGGTCTCTGTCCTGGTTTAATTACCTCCATTGTGATAGATGGGGCTTAGCAGGACCCAGGCTGCTTGTAGGCCCTTGGTCCTCCTTCCTCAGCTTCCTGGCTTCCACTGTCCTGGTGAAACACAGGCAAGTGGGGTCGGATGGATGGAGGGCTCAGCCATAGAGGTGATACTATTATGAGGCGAGAAAGCACGCAGTGTGTCACATGGACCTTTTATGATGGCTCAGGTGCTGGGACTCCAGCAGGATTTCATTCACTCCACAGTTTGGGATTAGGTCTTTTCATGGGACCCCCAACTTGTTAAAGTTCTTAGGATTCAGGATGCTGCCCTTCCCACTGGTATCGCTTAACCTCCACAGTGAACAGGGGAGGGTTCTCACAGGCAGGACTGCCCGGGACAGTAGGGGAGCAAGGCCTGATGGCTCAATCACTCCCCTGGGAGGCTGAGGCAGGACAGTCACAAGTTCAAGGCCAGCCTGGGTTACGGAGTGAGACCCTGTCTCAAAATAAGAAATAAAAGGGGAGCTAGGGACTGCAGCGTGAGTGAAGCCCTGGGTTCCACAGCAGGACTTCAGAAGAAAGGCAGTTGGTGTTGTGGGGTATCTACCTGAGAAGACTATCTAGACACACTTACGCTAATAGAAAGTCTTGATTAGCCATCTGGTGACCACACTGGGTGTTCAGGACCCTAGCGTAGTCCCGAACCTCTCTCAGGGGGAGCTTTTAAGTGCAAAAAACACATTCTTGCTTGACACACCTCAATTAGCAAGAGCAGTTAGCCAGAAGCAGAATGGCAGAAGCCGAGGAGAAAGGTTACTGTGGTTAGGGACTTTCCCGGAACCGTGGACTTTGACGGATCGGGCGGGTCTTTGTTCTTGTTGGCAGGTGCTGAGGCCTCCATGCTGCGTTTCAAGGCCTGAATGTACATCCATCATGGCGTCAGCTTCACTAAGGTCTGGGGGTCTGTTACACTGATGGAGTGTTACTGAGATTAGGTCATATGGAGAAAGAGGAGACCTAAAGCCCATGAACTGTACCGGCTCCCAGACTCCTACATTCTCTCAAAAGCCTGTTAGCATTTAACAACCTCATTTTCATCAAATTTTCCTTGATGATCTTGTGGATCAGGCTCCTAATTTTCCTTCCAATCTTCTCTTCACTGAACTCATTCTAGCTTTCTTACCATGGCTTGAAGATACCGTGGAAATAACACCGTGCTTTGGGCTGGCAATTTACTAATTCCGGGCTAAATCTGGTCTGTGGCATGTGTTTGTCAATAAATCTTTATTGACACACGACAATGTCCACTGCTGTGAGGACAGATCCACAAAGTGATCTCCTACCTGCACAGATCAAGCATGCTGAGCCCGGGGCTAGGTGTTTAGTGAGGGGTACCAAGGGTGAAAGGTGGGGTGCACACAGTCAAAGCTTTAGAAATCTGGAAAACCTACCTGGGTCCCTTCGGGCGTGGCCCATAGACCACAGGACACCCCCAGCCTTCAGCCCACTTCCCTTTCCTTCCTGCCCCTTCCCTTTCTTTGAGGGGAGAATGGAAGCCAGGGCCTTGGACACTATGCCGAGGCTCTTACACAGAGCCCCACCCCTATCCCGGTTCACAGGCATGACAGTCACCAGCCATCGATGGTACTGGAGCCCTTGAGCTGGAGCGAGCTGGAGCGAGCCGCACTGGGATGCAATACACCTGTAAAAGACACCGAGTTTAATGGGTTGCTATGAAAAATGAATGCAAGCATACACATCAATCTCCAGCTTAAATTATAATCTTGGACCATTGGACTGAATAAAAATAGACGATTATAATTAATTTCACCTGCCTTTCTTCCCGCCCTCATTGCTATGGCTACTAGAAAAATCTCACCCGCGTGTGTCATCCCATCTACGGCTCAAATGTTGGGTCTGTCACTAAGTCAATAATATTGGAGCATCCATCTTCTTCAGTCCTGTTGGCCCACAGACACTATGTGAGATCCGCAAGCCAGTCCTCCGGCCTCTGGGAGCCTCATTAAGGAGAACAGCGTGACATCCCTCCAGGGTTCAGTTCAGGGCGACATGTGAACCGCACATCGCCATGACACCCAACCCATGCTGGGTAAGCAAATGAGATGTCATGGCCGCCTCTGCCCCCTGCTCTGAATCCTATTCCTTTTCTTTCTTTTAACGTTTCATCTCCTGTCTCACACACACACACACACACACACACACACACACACACACACACACACACACGCGCGCGCGCAGTGTCCTCATAAAACCTCCCACCTCCAGGGATGCCCGGGTGGCCCTGTTTCAGAGCATGGACAGTCTTTCCTGTGATGTCTGGCTCCTGATCATCCAGTCAGTCTGCGAGTGACCTATATGCCCTCGCCCTACCCCATCCATCCACCACTCTTCAGGGGGTCACTGGTGAACCCCTTCTGCCCACACCCTGGACCCCCCTCCAGTGTTTCAAACCACTGTTTCCTCACTGGCTCCATCCTTGGCCCTTTCAGTTGAAAAGTGAACCAAACCTGTCGAGTTCCTCTGAAACAGTAGGAGAGGAACCCTAAAACAGTGGACCACAAGGAATTACCACTGCCCCGGGGAGTCCCATGAATCACAGAGAGCCAGCCGAGGCCCTGACAGGGAGTTTCACAGCCCTGGTGAACAAGGCTCTGGGTTTTCATTTCATCCTTTATGTAAAAATTCTAACACTGACACAGGGAAAAGTGAGAAACTAGAAGGTTCTCTCTCCCCAGAGCTGGCTAAACTGTAACTAGATCCAGTTTCTTTCTTTCTTTCTTTTTTTTTTTTTTTAATCAATCTCTGTTTCCTAATTTCTTTAGAGCACAGGGAAATCGAGGCAGCAGGTTTACCAACCTAGATGTCTGGTTCAGGCTAGCTCGCTCCCCCACCCCCATGACTGAGTCTCCCTCGGGTGGGTAAGGCGAGGAGGCCGCTGCCACTCTCATGGACAATGAGGCCATTCCTGCTTGGAAATGCCTATCTCCAGATGCCTGGGACCTGCCCCTGCTGCCCAAGGCCAGGGGTGCCCATGAGGAAGACAGGCCATCCATGTCCTCCACACCAGGCCACCAGAGAATGGGGGTGTCAGGGCTCCCAGCTCCTTGTATCGTTATGTGCTGAGCCATAAACAGCTCTCCAGGCCCCAAATTAAAAGGTCTTTTATTGGGAGAACAGACCCAAACAAATGCCAGCCTCCAACTGAAATGCACAGATAAACCAGTGCCCAGGGCTGTGGTCCACACATTTGGGAATGTGAGTCAAGCCCTTTGGCGTGGGCACATGAAGAAGGAGGAGAGGTCCCCAACCAGATCAGCATGTCCAGTCTCCAGGTCCAAAGTCCTGGACCCCCAGGAAGAAGGGCAGACACCCCACCTCCCAGCCAAGAACTCCAGCAGAAGAAGGCTGAAGCCAGAGAAGGAAATCTTAGACATGCCAGGGACTATGTCCCCTATCTGGGCCTGTCCCTCATCTGGGACCCAACATAAGCTGGCATCCGGTCTTTTTGTCTGTTCCCTGCCAAGGCGACCTGGTTCTTAGCTCCATGCCCAGTGGCCCGATGATGGCAGGTATCACCAAAGCCCAGCAGGATGTCCCATCCCCAGGGACTCGGTGTCAAATGGCAAGTATGCCACAGTCTTGTGAAGCCAATTGTGTTCGCACATTTGTGTCCCGCAGCACGGAGCCCAGACTGTCCCGGGTCCCACTCGGCAGCCACGGGAGCCGCCCAGCAGCAGCAAGAGCGTGGGAAACGAGACTCGTTACAGCCCAGAGTGAACTGAGGCTCAGACCAAGGGATCCCCAAGAAGGACAGAACACAAGAAGATAAAAGCCTCGGAAGTGGCTGTCTCCCCATCCCATCACACTGGCCGCAGCAGGTCACAAGCCAAGCCCGTCTCCACGATGGTAAAGGAAGCTGCCACTGTCACTGAGAGCAGGGCGGCGGGATAAGAAAGGGGCAGGTGGCACAGGCTCGTTCTTAGGTGTTCTAATGCTGCCCCCCTGATCTAGACTACTACGCCGCTGTCAGGGAAGGTGAAGTGTTGACAGTCAGCCGGGCAAGAACAAGGGACACTAATCCACTACCTCGTAGGGCAGACACTACGGTCTACCACTGGGTCAGGAAACTGAAACAAGGAGGCTGGAGAGACGCTACAGAGGCTAAGAGCGCATGCTTCTCTTCCCGAGGACCCAAGTTCGTTTCCCAGCATGCACAACCACTTGTCACTGGTCTTTGCAGGCACACGCACTCAAGTCTGCTTACCTACACAAGATACATAATTCATTCTATAAAGGAAAACGAATCTTAAGAAAAACAGAAGAAATGAATTCTAAATACTAAGGACAGAAGAATTAATGAAACAAAACAAAAAACAAAAACCTCCTCAGAAGCCTGGGCTGCAGGTCAACCGTAGAACGCTCACCTGGTGCGTACAGAGAGAGCCCTGGGTCATTGCCAGCATAGGAAAAGGGGGAAAGATGTGGGCCTGGAGAGACAGCTCAGTGGTTAAGAGCACTGCCTGTTCTTGCAGAGGACCAGGGTTCAGTTCCCAGCACCCACATCAGGCTGCTCACAACACCTGTAACTCTAGTTCCAGGGGATCTCTTTCCCTCTTCTGGATTCCACAGCCACCTGCACTTACACACACACACACACACACACACACACACACACACACACACACACACACACACACACAGAGAGAGAGAGAGAGAGAGATGCATATGCAAACGCACAATTTTTTTAATTAAAAATAATTAACAGTCTATATAACCCCTCACCTCCACGAGTCTCCATTATTACAACTTAGCTTGCTCTTTGTCCCAAGCCTCAGCTTGCTTCACTAATCAAAACCTCATGATGCCAACGTTGTCGGGATCCATTCCACCCATTGATCTGCGCCCTCTTCAGCTGCCGTGGGATCGGTTCCTAAAGACAATCTCGGGAGCTCTGTGACGTCACACGAGGGATGCCCTTACCAGAGAAGGGCTCAGGAGGATCCCTGAGTCTCCACCCACCTCAGACCTGGAAAGAGCAAGAAACAGAGCAGACAGGATACAGAGATCCTGGGTCCAGACGCTCGAAGGCCAATGGTTTGGCCTCACCTTGGGGCTGGCCGCCTCGGATCACTCCACAAACCTGAGGTGGGTCGAGATTCTCAGCTGCTCTCTCCAAGTTTCATTTTTCTCATTTCGGCTCAGCCCTGTGTGTACTGTGGTCAACAGAGGCAACATGATGGGGCAGGGGGTGCCCTACACATACCTGTGTGTATGTGTGTGTGCGCGTGTGTGCACGCGTGTGTGTATCTGTATACATGTCTGTGGGCGTGTTCACATGTGTCCTGTAAGGGAGAGGACTTTGGAGACCCAGTTCAGCGGGGCTGAGCTGTGACCGTGACTCCCGTGGCATCCTGTGGTCACCTCTGGTTAGCAAGGTGTGACTATGGGAAACATTGACTCTTAGTTGTCGTAGAATGGCATGGGTGCCACTGTGTCCCCTCACCCTGGAGGGTCTATTAGGAGCCTCAGAATTTGACCCGATGGGACCCTGGATGGGGTGGACCTCAAATGTAGCATCCTATCTGCTTCGTCTGCCTGGCCTCTTGGTAACAGGGTCTTGTAGACAGAGCTGAGTTCCTACGTGTGCTGGTCAACAGTATAACACACCCAGACAGGCAGTGGGCATCACTAGAGGGGCCTGATGGTCCGGGTCATATGCCACTGAGGTGCCAAGGCTGGCAAGAGGCCAGGCAGATATGCCCCATCCCTGCCTCAAAGCCTGCCCTTGTCCCCATGGCCACCTCACCCTCACAATTGCCAACACGACTAGCCAGGCAGTGTGACATGTGACAGCCAGAAGCACATGCCTGGACAAGTGACACCCTGCCCTGTAGCTGTGGGAGGCCAACCCAAGCCCCTACTGGATTCCATCTAGGACAGGATCTCTCCCTGAACCCGGAGCCCATTGATTCGGCTAAGCTGGCTGACCAGCGTGCTCAGGGATCCACTCATCTCTGTCCCCAAAGGCGGTGGTTCCAGGAACCCACCACCATGCCAGCGTGCGTGCGTGCGTGAGTGAGTGCGTGCGTGCCTGCGTGTGTGCCTGTGTGTGTGTGTGTGTGTGTGTGTGTGTGTGTGTGTGTGTACACGTGCTCTGGGGATCTGACCTCAGGCTTTCCTGCTGGCATGGCAGCCTGAGCCGTCTCCCCAGCCTGCTTTGCTTTATGTAAATTTGCCAGGCAAATGCAAAGCAATAAGCAAATGAGTGAGCACGCCCTCACCGTGTTCCCAGCTGCTGCTCCTTCATGCTGTCCAAGGCGTTTCCTTCCCAGGTCCATGCTGTGAGCCCCACGGGGCCTCATTCTCCCTCACCACCCACCATTTCCCCTGTAACATCTCTTCTGCCTTCACTGCAGGGACCCACACAGGTTTCCTAGTGAGAACTTACTCAGGGTCCAAGAATCTGGGCTTGCTTTACCCAGCAGGGCTGCATAAGGGGATGATTGGACCACACGCCTGGTTACCAGGTATTTGGAAGGGTCTACACTTGGCTGTGCGGTGTGCTTTGATCTATCAAGGGGGAGGTCTTTGGCCTCTCCCCTTGGCATTGTTATAAAAAGGCCTTTTGAAGAGCCAGAAGGGGCCGGTGGGTATTGATCCAGGTCCTCCCGAAGCTATCCTGTGTTTCTGTCTTTCTTCTAGTCACCTAGGTCTCTCTTTCTGCCTAATATTTTCTTATCTCTCTCCTCCTCATAGGAACCCTTTTAAAAGGTGGGAGCTGGCCTCCCACACTTCACCAGGCTGGCAGTTGCAAGGCAGGATTCCTGATGACTGAGGAGGGGTTGCAGGCAGGAGTGGGGTGTCTCAACCTCCGTCCTGTTGTTTAGAAGCTTCCAGACCACAGAAAGGGCGCTAGGATCCTGAGTGTCCCCAGCTGTACAATCCCCAGTAAAAGCCATACTCAGAATGTGACTCCCCGGGGGCAGGGTCAAGGATGAAAGCTGAGGAGGCTGGAGCCCCAGCAGCCTGGGGTACTGTACACGAGTGGAAATGGTGGGCTAGCGTAGCAGTATTGACTAGAAGAAGAGACTCAAAGACAAGGGAGAGTTTTCATTTTGGAAAGGCCCGTGAATAATGAACCCCAAATTCCAGCTACGTGAGACTTGGAACCCCCACATTTCTATTGCTCTTTCTGTTTGGTGGAATTTTCTTTTGTTACCAGGGAATGGTGTGTGTGGTTCTTCCCCATCCATCCATCCAGCTTTTGGAAGTTCCTATTCATTTTCTTTTTCTTCTCTCTCTCTCTTCTTCCTTCTTTCTCCTTTTTCTTCCTTCCTATCTCTCTTTCTCTCCTTCCTTTCTTTCTTTTTCTGAGGTTCTCACTGTGTAGCAGTTCTAGCTAGACTCAAACTTTCAGCAATCCCCCTGTCTCTGCCTCCCCAGTGTTGAGATGACGAGTGTGTGCTACCACGCCTGGCTGGGTGAAAACCGAGTTTTAAAACAACCTATCAGCCGGGCGGTGGTGGCGCACGCCTTTAATCCCAGCACTGGGGAGGCAGAGGCAGGCGGATCTCTGTGAGTTCGAGGCCAGCCTGGGCTACCAAGTGAGTTCCAGGAAAGGCGCAAAGCTACACAGAGAAACCCTGTCTCGAAAAAAAAAAAACCAAAAAAAAAAAAAAAAAAAAACAACCTATCAAACAAACAAAGACTTAGCAAAAGATAGCATGAAGTCAGGGAAGACAGACGGATTTCTTCTCGGTCTCCATTTATCCTCACGCCTGTGGCTTTGTGGTCCCTGTCGCATCCTGCCCCGTTAGTCCGGAATTCACTCAGACCTTCTGTAAAATATGAAGCGGCAGACAGCCCGTCTCAGCTCACAGTTCACACGGAGACGCACTGATTTACCAGGGGGAAATGTGTTGTGTGCCCTGGGTCCTGGGCCCATACGGGAGAGAGATTGCTAGGTAGCCGAGGCCCCTTTCATACACACAGGGGCCCTGGCTTAAAGAGACAGGCGGGCCAGCTACAAGTCACCAGGGCTCTGCCCAGCCTTCGCCCACAGCCAGTTCTTCCCAAGGGCTCCACAGCAGGCTGGCTTTTAGAGTAACAGAACCAGGTCATTGACTTAGCAGCGGGGGCTGGGAGGGAGGGAACTGGCCTTTGGACAGCCATCAAGGTGGGGTGAGGTTCTTTACACTAGCCCCTCTCAGCAGGATTCTGGAAGGCTCCCAGGCTCAGAAGAGTAGCCCCACTATTGCAGTGTAGGAGGAGAGCCAGTGACGGGTGCAGCCACTCGGCTGTGTGGACATAGCTATAACCTGCTTTTCCCCATAGAATGGGGGTTCTGCCAGGCCATGCATAATGCCCTTGGCCTACTCATCACTGCCGCTGTCACCCTTGCTATTTTTTTAAAAAATTTATTTTTATTTTATGTGCATTGATGTTTTGACTGAATGTATGGTGGTGTGAGGGTGTCAGATCTTGGAGTTACAGGCAGTTGTGAACTGCCATATGGGTAGTGAGAATTGAACCCAGGTCCTCTGGAAGAGCAGCCAGTACCCCTAACCACTGAGCCATCGTCTCTCCAGTCCCCACCCTTGTTATTTTACATCCTCAGGAACACAAACGGAAGGCCTTTTCAGAAAGCCACTGCTGGAGATGAGTCCCAGGGGCTGCTGTGGGGAACCTCTTCAGCCCCTCCCTACACCTGCAGCCTGAGATGGAGTTCCCCATAAGGAGCGAGGCGTGTCTCCCTGCTCACAGCCTCAGAACCTAAAATCCCAGAACTTGGACGGAGGGGGAAAACTACCTTCATTTGGATCACTCCCGGTGCCCTTCCTTCTGCTAGGAACGAAGACCACGGACCACAGAGGCGGAGTGGTTCTGGGGCTTTATCCTCAGTCAGGATCAGAGAGACCTGCTGCCGGGTTGGAGCTATTGAAACGATTGACAAATAGCACTGATTCTTGTCAATACCTCGGAGCAGCACAAACGCCTTCCTCCCCTGGGAGTGTGTTCTTTGACACATCCGAGGAGAGGCCTGCCTGGTTACAGCATCCCAGCCTCCTGCCCATTTAACATTGCATATGGAAAAGCTTCCTTTTGGAAAGATTTATTTAGTTTTATGGTGTGTGTGTGTGTGTGTGTGTGTGTGTGTGTGTGTGTATTTGCTTGCATGTATGTAAGTGCACCTTGTGTGTGCAGTACCTGAGGAGGCCAGAAGAGGGCATTGGATCCTCTAGGACTGGAGTTACAGACAGTGGTGAGCCACCATGTGGATGCTGAGAATCAAGCCCAGGTTTTCTGGAAGAGCAGCCAGTGCTCTTAGCCTCTGAGCCATCTCTCCAGCCCTGAAAAACATGCTTAAGACAGTTCCTTGGGCTTCATCCAACTGTCAAAGGGATCAGTGACGCCAAAGGGACACTCAACTGATCCTCAAGGCCTGGTGGGGATTTCGTGGTAAGCTGCTATGAAGCTGGAAATGTCCCCCCACAGGCTCCTGTGTTTGAATACATGGTCCCCAGCTGTTCTGGAAGGTTGTGGGGTCTTAGGAGATGGGCCCCAGCTGGGAGAAGTAGGTCACCAGGGGTTGAGCCTGGAGGTTTGATAACCTGATCCTGCTTCCTCCTGGCTCTTTTGCATCCTGTCTATGAAACCTGCGTGACCAGCTATTTCCTGGTCCCCACCACTCACTGTTTCCCTCAGAGCCAAAACACCCTTCTTCCTTAGGTCATTTTATCACAGCTTTGAACAAAGTAACTCACACACCTCCCTTATCCACTGAGATACACTCCTGGGCCCCCAACCATATCTCCAACTGCACAGGGTGACAGTGATGACCTTTCACCTTTCCTAGCTTCTCTCGAAGGGCCGGCTTGGCTGATCTTGCACGTGAATACCCCCAGCCAAGCCCATGAGCCAAGATAACAGTAAGGAGCAATCAGCAAACCTGGGGAACACAGAAAAGGGGGGCTGGAGAGAGAAGGGACCCTGTTGAGAATGGGGACCAGGGGCCGGGGCGGTGGCTCAGTGGTAAAGCACTTGCCACTTAAAGGCGAGGACCTGAGTTCGGATCCCCGTAAACCTGGATACAGTAGTGCCCATGTGCAATGCTGGCATTCCTATGTCAGGATTGGGGTGTGGAGACCGGTATCTGCCTCAAAACCAAAACAAAAAGTAGCCCTGAGACTATCATTAAGGGTGGGAGGGCAGGAGGCCTGGCCTCTGTGTCTGGGGCCACACAAACTGCTGGAGCCCAGCTGAGGCCAGAGTAGCCGGTCGGGGGGACGGACCCTAACCTCCACTAAGCCTCCCATTTGTTGGGCTGGAAATCTCAGGGTTCATTCCAGCATGGAAAGTGTGCTCAGTGCCTCCCGACACCAAATCTGCAGCCCGGTGAGAAGTAAGGTGGTCACGGGGCAGGTGCCATGGAGTGGACCTCAAACTTATGGCTTTGAAACCCAGCTCATGACTCCCCGGCTCAGGCACACGCTCGCTGTAAGCGACAATATGGAATTTCCAGTCGTGACCTAGGCTATTGTGCATTGTGGAATTTACACAGCCCCATGTGAGCAGCTGTGTGTTGAGCGTACCTGGAGATGGAATGTGTGTGGAGGGTGCTAACGGGCGGCTCTGGGCATCTGGAAGGTGTCGGGTTTTAATGTCCAGAGCTGCTGGCCAGTCAGCTAAGAGCTTGTGTGTGCGCTGGGTGCAGCTGTACAAACTACGCCGCCCTGGCCCAAGGCCCTATCAGGGCCGTTGAAGATACTGGCTGCTTTGTGAGTCTCCACCGGGGCCCTGGCCCCAAGGGACTGGCCTGGCATGGGCGGGTCTGTCTGAGGCTGCTCTCATTCCTGCCCACCAGGGAAGCAGCTCCACGAGGGTCACAGGTGGTGGTCTGACCCACGGACCACACCTCTCCCAGGGCACCCTACCCTGTACCCCACATTTCGGGGCCCTTCCTGAAGGCTCTGTTTGTATTCAGGGCTGCCAGGAACACGATGTGTTTGTAGGGACTTGGGAACATTTGTAACCCAGAGGTGGGGGTGGATTTGAGGTTGACAGTTGACCCCACAAGTAGAGACATGGTAGGGTTGGAGTGTGACACCTCTCCATCCATCCGTCCATCTGTCCATCCATCCGTCCATCCATCCATCCATTCACCCATTCACCCTCCCACTCATCCATCCATCCATCCATTCATCCATCTGTTCGTCCATCCATCCATCTGTCCATCTATCCATCCACCCATCCATTCACCCTTCCACTCATCCATCCATCTGTCCGTCCATCCATCTATCCATCCACCCATCCATCCGTCTATCTGTCATCCATTGATCGATCGATCGATCCATCCATCCATCCACCCACCCACCCACCCACCCATCCATCCACCCTCCCACTCATCTGCCCACCTACTTGTCCACTCACTCCACTGACCCACCCATCCCTCCCTCCTTGTGAACAATCTGAGCGAGTCCATCCTGTCCACTCAGGAAGCGCTGTACAGAAGCCACTCTGCGTCTTTAAATGTTCTGACCCACTTGGGGAAACAAGAACCAAAGACACACAAGTGAGCAAGAGTGCCAGGCCCGGGCTTATGTGTGAGGACAGCAGAGCCACTGGACCTCAGATGCCCACGGGCCTGCTGTTCTGCCAGTTGGCCGAGGGTAGCCCTGTCGACCCCTGCTCCTGGTTTTCAATGCCTGTGCCAGCAGCTCCCCGAAGGTGGGACACACCCTCAGCAAATGTAAGCCATGTCCCAGGGCAGGAAGTCACAGGCTTGAGGATCCCTGAGGTCATACAAGCAAGGCTGCCTTGAGCAGCTAGAGGAAAGCATGGAGGGCAGAGGTCCCAGCAGCCCCGTGAGAGGTCCAGTTGGCCAGGCTGGGAGCAGGATCTGGGCCTGACTAGCTGCTTCATTTCAGAACATGCTGCAAAATGGCCAACAGTTTGACACCCCCCCTTGGAGAGTGAGCCCTGAGCCTTCACAGTCTTCCCCTAGGAGGGCTATGAAAGGTGGGCACTGGGGGGCTGGAACCAACCACTTGGGGTGTCTCCTCCTCCTTGAAAGGAAGCCAGACGTGTTAGTACCCGTAATTGATTTTCAGGGACAGAACTGATATTGATAGTCTGTGTCCTGGCCCCCTGTTTCCTGTGCCACTAAAGAATAGCTGCCACCAGTGACTGTCTGTGGAGCCAAGGATCAATAACAATAACAATGACTGTGATGATGATAACAATAATAATGATTGTGATGATAATAACAACAATGACATATCAATAACAATGACTGTGATGATAATAACAATGAAGGATCGATAACAATAACAATGATTGTGAAGATAATAACAACAATGAAGGATCAATAACAATAACAATGATTGTGATGATGATAACATTGAAGGATCAATAACAATAACAATGATTGTGATGATAATAACAATGAAGGATCAATAACAATAACAATGACTGTGATGATAATAACAACAATGAAGGATCAATAACAATAACAATGATTGTGAGATAATAACAACAATGAAGGATCAATAACAATAACAATGACTGTAATAATAATAACAACAATGACAGCAGCAAGTCCTTCTACAGCATGTCCTCTGGGCTAACTCTTCTACCAACTCATTCAGGCACTTCATAACCCCGTGGGAGGTGCTATTATGTGGCCCATTTTACAGACCAGGAAACTGAGGCGGAGAGGCTAAGGATCTCTTCCAAATACTGAATGATGATAAGTGAAGACTTGTCTCGGAGAGTCACCAAACCCAGTGCCCATCCCCCTCCTGGGCTTCTGACACACTGAGGGACAAACCTAAAAAGCCAGTGAGACACCTGGTGACAGGCGAGGAAGCACAGGGCCCAGAGAGGTTGAGCAACAGGTGCAGGAATGTCCAGCTAGTTGGTTGCACAGCTAGATTTCAAGTCCAGACTGCTTACACAGATAAGGTGGCATTTTTTACGTATCTAGACTTGTTGTTGTTGTTGTTGTTTGTGACAGAGTTTCACTGTGTAGTTTTGGAGCCTGTCCTGGAACTCACTCTGTAGCCCAGGCTGGCCTCGAACTCACAGAGATCCACCTGCCTCTGCCTCCCGAGCGCTGGGATTAAAAGCGTGCACCACCACTGCCCAGCTGTATTTGGACTATTTTTAGAGTAGTTTGGGGAAACTGAGCAGAGAGTACAAAAGACCTGTTCCTCCTTTCCGGGTCCATCCTCTTCCTCACTATTAACATCTCCCTTGTTTTGAGACCTTTGTGCACACTGTAGTCTAGTCAGTCCGAGACACAATAGTTCATTAATTAATGCCACCGTTAACATCAACACCCTGGTTTCCATAATGTACGGAGACAGTTCTTCACCACTCCAAACCCACCCAGCACAGCTCACAGCCCTGAGCCTCTTTGTGCTCCCCACTTCCCCTCCCTGCTCTCTGGACCCCTGACACCCCTGGAGCTTCGCCTCTGTAGTTCTGTCTGCGGCAGCACCCCTCACCACAGGTCCCACAGCAGGTCGGCCCCTTTATGGACTCAGATTCCCTTTGTCTCTCATGGCGGCGCTCTGTGGCTGGTCCCCACTGCCGCCTGCGCCCTGTGGTTTCCATTTTTGTGCTCCTGTGAGAGGGCGTCTCGGTTGCATCTGGGTCTGAGCGGCTGGGAACACAGCTGTCATGACATTATCATCCGCAGAGGATCCCAGGGTTCCTGGGCCCCCAGTTGTTTGGAGCAGCCGGGCCACCCACAGGGCCCTGAAAGGAGACAGGGCTCGGTGGATCCAGGGCAGAGCACAACAGTGTGAAGCCAAGAGAGCCACAGGGTGATTCTGGGGCAGCCATTGTGACGAAAGCCCTCAGCAGGCACCCACACAGAGACACACGCCAGCCCCACACAGGGGCTTCCCCTACAGTGTCTCTTGGGATACCAGGAGAGTCACCGTTGGCAGAGGAGGACCAGGGCCTCCGGAGATGCTGGCTGTCGGCCAACACAGGACAGCAGGCCCCAGAGAGGGACATATAAGGACATCTGAATTTGAATTTCATGGATAGAAACTTC